CACTTTGATCTGTTGGTACCTAACATGAGGAACACAGCCAAATAAGCATAAAGTATAGAAAATATTACTGTTTCCATTCTATTTTAGCCCTCAACACCTTATAGGAATACTTTTACATGAGATTCCAAATAAAGTGGAAAAATAACAGATGTACAAGCAGCGTAAAGCAAACAGCGCCCCAATATCAATGATCTTGTATTCATTTGATAATTGAACTGTCATCATGTAAAAGAGTAATAACAAATAAAAATGGCTCACTGCAGATCATCAATTTCAGACTCCGTCTTAGAGTCACTTTCTGTCATGGGGGAGTGCCAAAAATGATAAAATGATGACGAAAATGTTTAGTCGATGAAATTAACACTGTCCAGCAGTACCTAGAAGATCATGGCTTTCCTTGTAGTAGCATCAGCGACTAAAGTGATTGTCAGCTTCCCCAGCAGCCTGGCAGGTATGAGATATGCATACGCATATTGTACCCATCTGGGCTAATCTAAGTATGCAATACAGATACTCTTGGAGTTCAGCTTTAGGGTCAATACACACTGGGTATTGATAATGCTGCTTATAATGGCTTTTGGCATTTTTTTTTCTTCAGCCTGTATTAGCAGCTCTATGTTAGCTTATTTGTCTATGCACATTAGGACTTTTGTAGGCATATTTGCTGAGGAGCATTTTTTGGGCAGAAAAAATACTTGATGCTCATAAACGAAGCATTAAGGAGTGTTTGGCATTTTCAAGTGTGCGTTGAATATAGTGAAAATTAAGCACAGGGGAATGTTGTGGGAAAAACAGTTTACAAAAAGCAAATGCTTATCGACTCTTGTGCAGTACGAGCCACTATGAGCTTTTTTTTTCTATGCTACTTTTTCTGCAGGTTCTGGCATTTGCCTAGTGTGCATGGACCCTAAACCTGAAAATTATAGTCTGCTACTTTGATACTCTTTTACTTTTTTTTCTTCTGTGGTAGAAAGTCCTCTAAACCCTGAGGCCTCCATTCACTAAACCTAATGTTAAGAATGAAGTCTTATTTGTTTCAAACACTGCATTGCTTGTTTCATAATAGAGTGCCACTTTTGTCACACCTCTACAACTATTTCCCCAAAATCATTGTGGTGGTATATTTGAAACTGCAGCATAGTATTTTAGGAGAGTAGTGGGTTTCTCCAATGGTATGCTTTTGCAAATATCATTCTTGCTCTGTATTTTTTTCTTACAGTGGGAAAATAAGTAGTGTTAGGATTGATGTTCAAGTCGAACATAATCTCGATGGGCATCGTGATTGACATTATATTTACTTTGGGGGACATTTTTAACATTTTTGATTTTAATAAAGGACCTGTGTACTGTAATTTTTTACGCTAGCTTTTTTTTTTTTTTTTTCTTTTTTTTGTGAATGGATAGCGGTACCATGTACCCCATAGTTATATTCACATGGGGAGCTGGAATCTGGGGGCTCCCTTGTTAGAGGGGGCTTCCAAATTCCAATAAGCCCCCCCACCCAAAGACCCCCACAACCACCGGCCACGGTTGTGGGGAAGAGGCCCTTGTACCCATCAACATATGGACATGCTGCTTTGGGGGAGACCCCCCCCTACCCCAAAGCACCCCCATGTTGAGGGCATGTGGCCTGCTATGATTCAGGAGGAAGGGGGGGTCATTTCTTTGGATTTTGGGAGGGGGGGGGGACCAATGCATTTTATTTATTTATTTAATTGCCAGGCAATGCCTGCAGTTCTTTTTACATTCAGCTGTCAGCAGGGAACCCCCTTGACAAATGAAACATTAAAGAATGTTTTTACTACTAAAATGCTGCATAACGTAATAATATAACTCACGCTGTATTTTATTAGCTGTGCGATATCTTACTGCATACTTGGATTAGTGAATTGTCCCCTCTGTTCGAAGTTTGTGGTCGAACTATCATTAGGTTTGAATGTTCGACCACGAACCAAACAGCGGTGTTCAGCCCATCACTAAAAATAAGTAGACTTCACCACCTATTTCAGTGCTGCCTGTTGTGCCTTTGCTGTGGACTTTACAGGCTATCTCCTAGGGAGCCTACCAGCAATGCTGTATTTCCTCAATTTGTTGATAACTTGTTTTTACTTTTTAGAACTGTTTTTGTGGCCTTTTTAACTTTCTATAGATGTTCTGAAATTTCTTTTTATCCCTTTGTAATGAAAGGTTTGTGACCTATGGCTATATTTTCTCCAATTCAAGCTGATATATAGTATACAAATTAGCACTGTATTTCAACAAAAACAGCTTGTTTTTTTCTTTTTTCAGGAATTGCGGACTTTGTAACCTTTCCCCAGATGTGATTTGGATTGGTATATAAACACTTATGAAATTTCAGATTATGTCTTCATGAAGATGCCTCATTAAAGTTGATTACCATAACAGACGAAATAATAAGACTTCTTTGGACAATGTGGTAAAGAAGCCTTAGCACTGTGACCATGTCACTTTTTTGACACTTCTTTTTTATTTGCACTAACCGTTAAAATTCCAGGAAAGCTTTGGGGAAACTAAATATTCAACAAAAGCAAACATTGTGAGATTCTTGATAAACATATGGGAATGAATGCTTGTGGATGTATAATATCCATATACTTTATAGTTACTGCTGAAAAAAAATTCTTAATTTAAATAACTGGTGTTAGGAAAAGTACACAATTTTAATCAACATCATAATAGGATTAATAAAGAATGTTTAGAAGACTTTAATAAGAACTATAAAGTGCTATTAAACAGAAAAGCAGAAATGCAATGTATTGCAGCTTAGCCAATATTAAAGCATAAGGCTTGCTAGCACTGTTTAAGCAGTTAAAGCAACAGTCTGAAATTGTAAGCACCCCTCTCAGTGCTAAATATTTTGTCTCAAACTAATCAGATTTACTGGCTGGATCCAGGTGAAAATTAATGGAAAAATAGCTGTATCACTAGGTGAAATAAAAGGAAAAAATGCCGCCACCACAATATAATACATTTTTGTTTTAGTGTTTAATATCACTTCTTTTACTTTCTCTGATATATTGCAGTTTTCAGATGTGGTCAGTTCAATTGCTGAGTCCTGGTTGACTAAGCACTAATAAGAATCTGAGAACAGCACCCTGTTCTGCTCAGCACATGCTGTTGGTTGGCACCTGTTTCATTCACGTTCCCTGGTAAAGACTGTTTACAGATATGTCTTGCTGTGTGTATTACTTTACATCATTGCTGGGGCACAGATAGCAGGTATTTTAACCCCATGATAAACATGAAATCGGGCTTATTAGAGGAATTTTAGAGACACTAATCAAAAATATTTTCATTCAATATTTTTATTGTCAGAAATTGAAAAAACACAGTTTTATAGTCAAGGCAGCATGAATGATGTCATAAAAATACATTTCTTTGAACAGAGTTACAGGTTCAATTAGATCTGAGAGGACAAGGCATATAGAATAAATGTTCTCAGTTTCTTGATGCTTTCTTTTATTCATTCAGTGGTTATAAAAATGTTCAAAATATTTGCTAATTTACATATGTCATGATCCAGGAGATTTTAGTTTTATTAGAGTGAGAGAGATATTAGAAGTTTTCCAGGCCCTGGCAATTGAGATTTAGGCTTTGAGTAGTATTAAGAAATAGATTATGGGAACTGTGAAGGGTGTTTTCAACTGATTCACTGAGTAGTGTAATTAATGGATCTTTTGGAATCTGTAGGCTTGTAACTTTGATTCAGAGCAAAGAGATAATTTCAGAATCCTCTAATCTTGGGGCATTCCCACCAAACATGGAGCATTGTGCGCTGATGGTTGCAACCTCTAAAGTATATTGGCAAAGAACCTGGGTACATTGCCGTTAGACTGGAAGGGGCCAGACATGAGGGCCTTCAGGCTGGCCACAATAAGCAAGACATTTTGGCATTTATATTGAAAATATGATTGATCATGCCAAAAAAGGGTAGTGATCATATGAAGCCATTTATTATCAAATAGTTGTTTGTCTCCTTTTTAAACCATAATGATAACAGAAATCACCCAAATAAGCCTGATCAAAAGTTTACATACCCTAGATTGTTTGGCCATGTACAGACAAAAATGAGCTGCATGGTCAAGTTGCCAGAAAGAAGCCTTTACTGTGCCAGTGCCACAAGAGAGAGCCAGGGAAGCACTGCAGGTGCTGGCAGAGGGGGTATGTGGGGGTTGCATGGTTGTTACCTGTTGTAATAGTTGCAGAGTTCCCCCCCTCCGTCTCTCCACATCGTGGTGACGTCATCCAGGACGCTGGGACGTCGGGTACGGCCTCTATCTGGCAATCATGTTTAAAATAAATTGTGTAATCACTCATTTATATATGTACTGTATATATTTATTTTTCCGAGAATACAAAATTCTGAGAATGAAATGCACACACAATATAAAAATAAAGGGGAATAATATATTTGAATAATATAAAGAAGAGCTAACATACAAATCTATAGACATTCCAAAAATTGTACGTTAATTTTAAACGATGAAGGGTTATGTACTGATTTTGTATAAATAAAGTCTATTAAGTTACAACAAATGTGTTAAATAATGTTTCTTTACATATATATATATAGTCCTGTGCAGGTTTGTGTATACACACATACTTATGGCCGAAACCATGTTCATTTTAGAATCTTTATTAGTACTGAGTAAATATCTTAAACATTCAAATATCTACATAGAACCTCAAATACTTTTGTTTTCTTCATCGACTTGTGATACCATGCGGGAATACTAAAATTTTAAGCCTATATATACTTTTTAATTTTAAGAATTTTTGGTTTTCTCTTACATACTGTAAGACTGAATTATTTTGTGTTTTTAGCCTTAAAATAAATCTACATCTAATAATTCATGACGATGACATCAACCTATTCAGTACAACAATTTGTAATTTCTGTTACCTAAAATTTTATATGAAGGTTTAATTGCTTTGGAAACATGCAAAGTGAACAGCTGCCAGATAGCTGTATAGTGTCCTCAGTCAGAATCCTCACTACTGAAGTAAGAACTGTCGCAATATTCCGCGGTGTACAGAAATTTGTGTACGCTTGGGTTCAATCGAGGTACCCAGTGTCTTGGCACCAAAAATGTTGAAAGATTGAAAAGATCCACGAATACTTTATATCTGTCACTGTTGGGAAATGAAAAAAGAGATTAGATACTGCTATCTAGTCCGTTTAAAACATTTTCCTTTTTAAACAGGTCAGTCCACCCAGTATTGGTATTTAAACTATTGATGATTCTGGTTCTTTATAATCTACTGACTTCTTCAGCTAAAATGACTGCGGTGAAGAAATCAAACTCATGAGATTCAGGTTCTGTGAACTTTTTTTTCTTTTTACATGGAATCTCCTTCCTGCTGGAGCAGGAGGAAAAGTTATGCTTTTTTTTTATTCTTTCTTTATTTCCAAATGCTCAAAAAAGGGATACAGTCTTACATTTGCAAAGTCCTTCTATAAGGTGGTTACAAGGAGGAGGAGTCATTTCACTCAATCCTTTCAACAGGACCTCAGGAGACTTTTTTTCATCCTGGGTTACTGACTTATGAAGATTTCTTAAGGGGACTCGGTTTTTAGTTAATCATTTTGCCTGTGGGTCCTGTCGAAAAGCTTGAGCGTCTTCTTTATTCTTCTTTGTTTTAAAAGTGGTATTGCCTAGATAAGAGGAGGTGGTACAGCTAAGAAGAGGAAAAAATGACTCTGAAAGGGAAAAGTGGTATATGACCTTTGTAACTGAACAGTCATATATCAAAGGTGAGTGCACATTTGGGTGCAGTGTTGTCACAAGGTGAAAGAGTTGGATCAAGTGGATTGCAGAGGAAGAGTTGATGCGCGATCATATTCAAAAGGACTTGCATTTCCATCGCTTTCACCTAGCAGCACTGACGTCAGTTCAAATCCCAACCACAGCACCACCTGCCTGGAGTTTGCATGTTCTCCCTGTGTCTACGTGGGTTTCTTCTGGGTACTCCAGTTTCCTCCCACACTCCAAAGACATGCTTGGTAGGTTAATTGGCTCCTGACTAAATTGGCTCTAGTATAGGTATTGTGACAGTATGAACAGCGAGGTGATAGATGGACGCTATGGGGTTTATTTACTAAAGCTGGAGAGTCCAAAATCAGACTCCCTTCTGCATAGAAACCAATCAGCTTCCAGGTTTCATTGCCAAAGCTTCATTGAACAAGCTGAGGTTAGAAGCTGATTGGTTTCTATGCAGAAGGGAGTCTGATTTTGGACTCTCCAGCTTTAGTAAATAAACCCCTATGTGTCACCTCGCAGGCGATCATACTTTGAAATTTAAGGTGGAGTCCATTCCGGGTTTTCAGGGCCACATGGGCAGAGTTGGTTCCGGACCGGATTTTATGCTCCACTGAGGACCACCAACGGGCGGTATAAATAAGACAGGGCTGGAGCAAGGAGTCGCTTGTGGCCTGGGACTCAGAGAGCCATTCTGAGAGAGAGCTGTGCATGAAAGTGATTGTTATACAAACAAGAGAAAAGGTTTGCTTATGGTTTTGTTTAGGTTGGTGACAGGGAGAAGCCCTTCACCAGTGAGAGAGGAAAAAGTTCTATGTTTAGTTAGTGCCTGGATGGCAAGGGTTTATTTTGATGTTTTGTTTGTTTTCATATTTTGCAAACCTTTTAAATATAGCTGACAACCAGTCAGATTTTGAAGAAAGCCTGCTGTGCGGTCTACATTTTTCCCAGGGAAGGAGATCCCCCATCTGAGCTACCCCCACAGTATGTATGAATGTAAGTTAGGAACCTTAGATTGTACACCTCTTGAGAGTTAGGGACTGTTGTAAGTGTAATGAAAAACAAAATTGTGTGTTTTGTGTGTGTGTAAAGCGCTGCGTAAATATAAGTATCTGAAATAAAATAAAAAGGCTTCCATTTCCAACATGGTGGACTGTATCACAGTGAATGGAATTTAAATTCCAGCATGGTGGAGTGTTTCTATCTTTCTGTTTTTTTAATTAACACTATCAGAATGTAGATCTTGGAATAAGCAGCACTGCATTAATTATGGTGCACTCACACCTACGAATGCACCCGCTCAGCGATTACATGTGAAAACCCCAGGGCAGCCCCACTGAAAGGATTCGAAGTCTGCTGCTCCTGCAGCTAAGCATGCCCACTTACATGTAATCGCTCATGTAGCGATCACATCAGCAAGTGATGGGTCCCAAGCGCAGTCAGTCTGTATCCAGGGACTTGCGTTTTTTTAAATTTGCAGTGTGAGAAAACACATAATGGCGGTAGGCCAGCTGCTCTGTTTAGGCATAGAGGGCATTCAGCAGTACATGAGGTTTAAGTTACAGCATATATTCTTTAAGCTGGAAACAATAGCCAGCACTCTGGGGATTTTATTGTTTCATATAAAAGTACAATATGTCAGGGACATGGGGAGACCTTTTTCAAGAAAAAATACAGGTCATTTTATGTAACTACAGTAAAATCTTGGATTGCATCTCTGCAGTGCTGGCTATTGAAAAAAAAAAGTTGGAGAGCTATATTGCTGTCTGTGTCACCATTGGAAAAATGTTACTTACTTCCTGACCCCTTGGTCATTGTTGCTTAGACAAGAAATAGGGGGACAATTGCCAGTAGTGACCCTATAATAACCCTTCCCTACAAAATCCCAAATCCGTTCTCTGGAGCTGGCACCAAGAATATCTTGACTTGCTGGAAAAAATCACTGTAAAATTTCTTGAAATATGATTGATGTAGTAAAGTACTGCATAAAGTAGTAAAAAAACCTCCTTTATTATGCCACCATGCAGCAGGTACAAGACTTTTTTTTGTGTGTGTGTTTCTTTTTTGCTTATTGTGGATATTGTACAATAACCCCATCCCCTTTTCCAAAATTGCGTGTACTTTCTAGTTTACTTAGTTATTTTGAAGCTTAACTCCAGTTAGTCCTAAACCTTCAGTAGTTAAATACCTGTTTAGTCTAAGGAAGATATAAAGCAGAGGCTTCTTTCCTGTTGTAACTGATCTCACAATGCTGCCTCTTTTTGCTGATTGATTGTGAAGCCCCCCCTCTCTCCATCATCATGTATGTAAGATGGGTAGTCCTGTTTTATAGGTGATGACGTTAAGGGCCTGCCCATATTACAGGAATGAGGAGTGAGGAATATAGCAAGTACTCCTCTGCTAGACTAAACAAGTATTTAACCCTTTATATGTTAGGGAGCATGCCACAATTTACTGACTTTTTATGGCCAACGGGAGTTCAAGTTTTATCAAATATCTACTTACTGGCAGTTTTCTTTTGCAAGTTTTATTTATTTATTTTTTTTGGTCGCAGCGATTTAAGTCGTGGCAAATAAAACCCATTAAAATCTGAGTTTTCACTTCACTTGCGAATGGCGTAAGTCACTGGAAAATTGCTCTAGTTGCTTCTCATGTAACTATTAACTCTTGGTGATGTGTTCAGTAACACTAGAAGTGATGTACATAACAATCTTACATTAACTTTCTGAGCAATCATCTCACCTCACAGTTGATCGTAGGTAGTGGTAACCTGATGAACCGCCTGTCCCAGCTTTGCTACCAATCATTCGATGCACCATGCACACATGGTTATCTAATGGACAAAACAACAAATGTCAGTATGTAACAGTGGATTTGGCAATCTGCCTGCACTGATCACTTCTGCAGCTTTAACAAATAGATATTGCTTAGATCATTCACATTGCTTGGGATAATTAGGTGGGGATGGGCTACACTAGATCAATAATGTACCTGCACAAGCATCCCACAAATGAGGGTAAAAAGTAAAGTCACAATATATTCAGAAATAAAGAACCTACAGATCTTTCATTTCTCCTAATCTGTAAGTGAACTAACTGTCCATGTCTGTTGTAACTCACTTTTTTATTGTTTTTTTTTTTGTAAATTGCAAATTCCATTTTCGTGTTAAGCACATAAATACAGGGCACTTTTACACCATTCCTGCCCAGGCCAATTTTCATCTTTCAGCTGTCACTTTGAATGACAATTGCATGGTCATGCAACACTGTACCCATATGAAATTTTTATTATTATTTCTTTTTTTCACATAAATAGAGCTTTCTTTTGGTGGTATTTAATCGCCACTGAGTTTTTTATTTTTTACTAAATAAAACAAAACAATTCTGTAACTTTTGAAAAAAAAAACGCACTTTTCTTCGTTTCTGTTTTGCAAATAAATAAAATTTCTTCATAAATTTAGGTCAAAATGTATTCTGCTACATTTCTTTAGTGAAAATAATACAAATAATAATAATTTAATTTGTGTATTTTTTTTCTAAGTTTTCTATTTTTATTATTACATTCTTTTTTCTTTTTTTTTTTTTTTACTATTTTTTTTTCAACACACTGTGACAAAAGTAAAACAATGTTACCATAGTAACAATGAACTATTCTTGACAGGTGATCAGATTTTTTCTTTTTTAACACATTATGACTGCTAATGCCAATGTATTTCATTGATATTTGCAATCATTGTTACTGAATGAAAGTGATTCATTCAGTCTTTTGTTGTGATTAGGCAAAGCTGATCACATGATACAGATGGGCTGTGATTTGCCCTGTCTGTATCATGTGACTGCTTTGACCAGTCACACAGCTAACAACATAATTGTATACAATGGATGGTATGACAGGAAGTCATCCATTGTATACAATTGACATGTGATCTGCTGTGATTGGTCACATGAAACTGGGCCGGTGTAGTGATATGTTATCGGCTGTGTCCTGTAGACACAGCTGGTGACAGATCTCGCTGTGAGCTGCTTGTTTTGACATGACGTCATATGATGCCCAGTTACAGTGGTCAATCTGCAATAGGCCAGGTGGGAAGGTGTTAAATTACATTTGTTATCAAAACTTTTTTGGGGGAAAGGATATTGAATGTGTAAAGCCCAGTAAGGTTATTTTTAGTTTTATGTGAGACTTCCTTTCGTGTCCAGAAGGAACAACATGAAGTGCCTCTGTCCAGGGGATAATGATCACAAAAACAAATGGAGTAAAGCTAGATCCATAGATGGATCATCCTTTTTTTTGATCAGCCACGACAGGAATTTGCCAAACCTTCCCTCCCACTGTGCTATTGTATTCTGACAGCGGGGACTTCTCCACCATTAGAATGCACTGATCAGCACTATAGTCAATTGGTTGTGTGTGCTGATCGAATGGAAAATTTGCAAAATTCCCATTTGGGAAAAGCTGATCATTGATGAACCAGACGATTTTCAATCCATTTTATGGCCAGCTGTATTCTCTCCAGCAGGAACACAGAAAACTTATAGGGGTTCTAAACCTTCCACCTTGTACATACATTAAAGCTTATTGCAATAATTATTGTAATACAGAATCAATATGTAATACAAGTGTGAACCTCATATCATGGTGTTAATAGAGTATCCTGACAATAATATTCATTGAGAACACATGAGCGCTAACTGCTGAAAATGGGTTTTATGCAATACGTACATCTCCATTTGGTCATCAGTACATCAATATCCATTAGGGAGGTGAGCAGCTGAAATGGGACCTGGAAGCGTGGTTCCTCCCTAGCATGACAGAGTACCATAATAAGGGTTATGTAACTGAATATAGATATATAAATATTGTACATAAATCACAACTATTGGACATATGGAATTTTAGCATACCTGTAGAAGTAGATCATTAAAGCCCCCTTCAGAGCTTTATATGACAGCCTTCTTTCACCTGTTTGAAAATACTACATATTTAAAACCTATAATATGGATATAATATCATTACATTTATATACATGGGCATAATGAACTCTAGATTTGGTTTTGTACTATTTGTTTTTATAGCTTACTTAAAGTGTTACTAAACACAGGACTTTGCATTCACTATATCTGGTCTCTCACAGTACACACAACATGGAAATGCAATTATTTTAGTAAATATAAACTGCTAAATACCTTTTCTCATCAGAAGCAGTCTTGTGATTTCTATCTGTGTCCAGCCCACCACTAGCTAAAGCTTGTAAGAGGAGTTTTCATTCTGCTCTAGGAGGATGCAAATCCCCTGACCACTGTTTGGACAGTGCTGATTGGCCCTGTGCTGATCACATGCACTGTCCCAAGAAAAGAAAAAAAAATCTAGCAATACACACCAAACTCAGCATGTGCATGCCTAGGGTTCAGTCTAGAGATAAGAGGTGGACACTTGACAAAGGGGAGGAACATGGAAGAAAGGATCAAAAAAGACCTTTTTACACAATGCAGAGTTTTAACCCCTTAGGTTCCACAGTGTGTATGCTTTACTGCATATACAGACTGATGTTACTGTTGTAGGTTTAGTAACACTTTAAAATGTTTATTTTGTGACAGGTATTAAAAGAACATGTTTGCTGTGGAGAGATCACTCTGCAATGGTTTCATGATTATTCATCAAAGCAGTAAATAATATGGTGATGATGGGTCTATTACAGTTATCTGTAGTAGCTATCAGATTCCCTTGTCATTAGTTTAAAGCAATTCAAATGAGGTAGCTGATGGGTTATACTATACACTTGTGTACTTTTTACATACAATAGATCTTTACCTATTTAAAGAACAGATACTATAGTCTCCTGTGTTTATAAAGTACCATATTTACCTAAAACCATTATACAATTATAACAATCCTTGCACTGAAGGTGCCTAAAGTGTTCACAGTTGTTGCAGAATGTACACATAAATTCTAGCCGTACACATGACCTGTTAGTTGCATGTAATGGGCGGCACAGTGGCTTAGTGGTTAGCACGTCTGCCTTGCAGTAAATGGGTCATGGGTTCAATTCCTGACCATTGCACCTCCTGCATGGAGTTTGCATGTTCTCCCTGTGCTTGCGTGGGTTTGCTCCGGGTATTCCGGTTTCCTCCCACATTCCAAAGACATGCTGGTAGGTTAATTGGCTCCTGTCTAAATTGGCCCTAGTATGTGTATGTATGAATGTGAGTTAGGGACCTTAGATTGTACACCCCTTGAGGGTTAGGGACTGATGTGAATGTACAATATATATGTAAAGTGCTGCATAAATGGACGGCGCTATATAAGTACCTGAAATAAATAAATGTAATGAGCGTGATTCAAGTACTGCTTTCAACAACCAGGTTCCTATTGAGCCATGTAGGGATTGGATAATGAGCTTGTGCATGCATCAGAAATCCTTATATAGTACACAGTGAAGGTAGTATCACAACTGAAGCCAGGATCTGGAGTAATAGTGCATGGCAAACAATCAGCTTCTAGCTTTCATTTTCAAAGTTTAACTGAACAAGCTGAAGATGAAAGTTGATTGCCATGTAAAACTGCTCCAGATTCTGGCTGCTCCACTTTTCATAAATTCCCCCTGGATAGTTTCTAACATGATAGGAACATTTCTTTGCAACAAGTCAGAATAAAGATTTTACTTCATCTACATTTCAGTTGGTTTGTTTCGTGAGATATATATATAGCTCAGATAATAATCATATATCCTTTTTTTTTTCTGTACTTTATATTTAGTTTTACACTTTTACATTTAGTGGGTATGTGTGTACTGTGGAGTGCACATACTATATTTGGATTGAAAGATTTCATAAAGAATAGTACTTATACCTTTACTGACAAGATGTTCATGCCGCTTCTCATCAAATAAAGCAGTAAAGACTTCCTTTTGCTTCTGAAGTTCTGCCAGCTGCTCTTCTTTATCCTCTGAATCTGGTTTAGCCTTATGAAAGAGATACTTTTGTTATTATTACTGTAAATACCAATTTTTTTCACTCTACATCCAGCATGCTATACAGTCTGCTATATAACATGGTACGTTGTAATATTTACCTGACTAATGTACCTACAAAGAATGGCATTTAAAAATAATAGGGCAGCACAGTGACTAAGAATTTAGCACTTCTGCCTGGCAGCACCAGGGTCATTGGTTCAAATTCCAACCACAGCCTGGAGCTTGCATATTCTCTGTGCTTGTGTGGGTTTCTTTTGGGTACTCTGGTTTCCTCCCACACTCCCAAAAACATGCTGGTAGGTTAAATGGATCCTGTCTAAATTGACCTTAGTAAGTGTATGTATGAATGTGTGTTGGGGACCTTAGATTGTAAGCTCCTTGAGGGTAGGGACTGATGTGTAAAGGTAGGTGAAAATAGAAAAGAAACAGTGGGCGCACCAGCCTAGTGCATTATCCACAAGGAATCTCTTTATTATAAAAACGTGGTAAGTATCATACTCACAAACCAACAGATGTGTCTCAGCTTGTCACATATACCGTAAGATCCAGCTCACGGGACATGACGATGAACTGGATCTTATGGTATACTGTATGTGATAAGCTGAGACACATCTGTTGGTTTGTGAGTATGATACTTACCACATTTTTATAATAAAGAGACTCCTTGAGGATAATGCACTAGGCTGGTGCACCTTCTGTTTCTTTTCTATTTTTGTCTAGTATGCACAGACATCCCCAGTCTTGAGAGAGCAGCACGACGAGGCACTTCCAGCAAATACAAGACAAATGCAGGCCATATATGGTTCGAATTCCGAACGATTTTTCGTCCAAAAATCGTAACGTCGTTCGGACTGTAATCCGATGGTGCCACCAATGATTTAGAAAATCGGTCGTTTTTCACAAATTTTCCAGCATGCCCGATAAACGAAATAAGGAACCACGAAAATCGTCCAATGCCATTGCCCCACTAACAGAGCGAAAATCGGCCGATTATTCTTAGGTCCAATTTTCGTACGAAAATCGTTCGGAATTCGAACGATTTTCGTACAAAAATCGTTCGGAATTAGAACCATGTATGGCCTCCATAACATCTAGCCTACTGTGAGCGGTGGAGACTGTGATGTTGTTCACTTTGCATGCACTGATGTTAGATGTTAATGTTCAGTATATGTAAAAGCACTGCATAAATTGACGATTCTATATAAACACCTGTATTTAATGAAATGACAAATAAAACTATACAAGCTTCAGTATCTCTTTGTGATAACAGGACTTTTATGCTCCAACCCCAGTTGAACATTCTTGGTCAAATCCACATAAACCTATTATTCCCAATTCTATTATTTAAAAAAAGAAGAGTTCAGAGGTATGTAATGATGGGCAAGCATGTAGTAAGGCTTGATCAGTAAAGCAGATATACCAACTGTAATTAAGAAATTGGAATCCTACATAAAAGGCTGTTTTTATGATAGGGTCATAAATATGACTGTCTATACATACCTTTGCTTTTTGGAGCTCTTCCTCTAATCCCTGAAATATATTGGCCTGTAATTTCCCCCAGAAATTAAATCCTGCTTCCTCCAATCCAGGTGTACGTTCAAGCCATGCCTTAAATAAAATATTTGAATACGATAATATGGTTATTAGTATCTATTAGATGGTTAGATTTAAAGTAGCTCTCTTTTTCTGTTCTTTTTAGCCATTTGTATCTCTTTTGAATCAGGTCAATTTTTATTAATCAGCAAAGATACAAAGAAAATTAAAATTTCAAGAACTACATAGTATTTATACATAGTAATAGCACACTTCACATTCCAAATACTGAGCATAGAATATGCATATAGGTGGATGCTGGACAGTTACATACGGCTATTTCTACCATGTCGTGCAATACATATAAGACAATCAACAGTCATCAGAGAAATCACCCGTGGACAGCAGGAAGGCTATATCAGAATTACTAGAATTTGCTTGCTCTCTTACCCCCTACCCCAATTTTAAATTGACTAACTCCACAACACATTGGCTCTATCTTTACTTTCAACCATCCACCTCCTTGCCCTAAGAATAAGAGGAGCGGGAGGGGTTATTGGATCCCAGTCACCAGGACCATATTTTTAAATACACTGCTCAAAAAAATGAAAGAAACACTTTTTAATCAGAGTAGAGCATCAAGTCAATTAAACTCCGGGGTATTGATCTGGTCAGTTAAGTAGAAGAGGGGGTTGTTAATCAGATTCAGCTGCTTTGGTGTTAATGAAATTAACAACAGGTGCACTAGATGAGCAACAACGAGACGATCCCCAAAACAGGAATGGTTTTACAGGTGAAGACATTTTTTTCCCTACTCATCTTTTCTGACTGTTGTTCACTAGTTTTTCAATTGGCTAGGGTCAGTGTTACTACTGGTAGCATGAGGTAATACCTGGACCCTACAGAGGTTGCACAAGCAGTCCAACTCCTCCAGGATGGCACATCAATACGTGCCATTTGCCAGGTTTGCTCTGTCTCCCAGCACATTTTCAAGAGCAGGGAGGATATTCCAGGAGACAGGCAGTTATACTAGGAGAGCTGGATAGGGCTGTAGAAGGTCCTTAACCCATCAGCAGGACCGCTATCTGCTCTTTTGTGCAAGGAGGAAAGGATGAGCACTGCCAGAGCCCTACAAAATGACCAACAGCAGGCCACTGGTGTGATTGTCTCTGACCAAGCAATCAGAAACAGACTTCATGAGGGTGGCCTGAGGGCCCAACGCCCTCTCATGGGCCCTGTGATCACTTTTCGGCACCATGGAGCTCAATTAGTATTTGCCATTGAACACCAGGATTGGCAGGTCTGCTACTGGCACCCTGTGCTTTTCACAGATGAGAGCAGGTTTACGCTGAGTACATGTGACAGACGTGAAAGGGTCTGGAGAAGCCGTGGAGAACGTTATGCTGCCTGTAACATCGTTCAGCATGACCGTTTTGGTGGTGGGTCAGTGATGATCTGGGGAGGCATATCCATGGAGGGACGCACAGACCTCTACAGGTTAGACAATGGAACCCTGATTGCCATTAGGTATCAGGATGAACTCCTTGGACCCATTGTCAGACCCTATGTTGGTGCAGTGGGTCCTGGGTTCCTACTGGTGCTCAACAATGCCTGGCCTCATGTGGTGAGAGTATGCCAGCAGTTACTAGAAGATGAAGGAATTAATATCATTGAATGGCCCCCACACTCGACTGACCTAAATCCAATAGAACACCTCTGCAATATCATATTTCGGTCCATCCAACACTGCCAGGTTGCACCTCAGACTGTCCAGGAGCTCAGTGATGCCTTGGTCCTGATCTGGGAAGAAATATCCCACGATACCATCCATCCTCTCATTAGGAGCATGCCCCGACTTTGTCAGGCATGCATACAAGCACATGGGGGCCATACAAACTACTGAGCACCATTTTGAGTTGCTGCAATGAAATTTCAGCAAAATGGACTAGCCTGCTGCATCATTTTTTCACTTTGATTTTTGGGGTGTCTTTGAATTCAGTCCTTTGTAGGTTGACAATTTTCATTTCCATCAAGCGATGGGGCATCCTTACGTTCCTAACACATTACCCAGTCCATATCAGTATAGTTATCCAGCATGATATTTTTCCCCATTGATGTGTTTTCAAAGTGTTCCTTTCATTTTTTTTTGAGCAGTGTATTTTTTCAGGCATCCCGTGTTTATAAGTAAGCTCCTTTCTGTGTAATGCAAAAGGAATGGCATCACACTATTGGGTGAGTGTAGGGTGTGTGTGAGACCCATTTCTGTAATATGAGCTTACGGGCCAAATAAGGAGACAGTGTCCATATTAAATGCATTTCTTCCTGTAACACCCCTCTGTAATGAGGCCCAATAGGGCTAATTTGGGGTCCAATACTACCTACGTAAGTGGAGCACAGGGAATTCAAGGTATCAAAAATAGTTTTCCAATAGTGATGTACTTTTGGGCAGCTCCACAACATGTGTATAAGTGATCCATTGGCTACGGCATATCTAGGGCACAGTGGGGAAGGTGCTCTTCCCCAAGAGTGGAGTTTCAATGGGGTATAGTGTACTCTATGGTGTATGAATATTTGAATCAGGTGTTGTAAAGTGGAAAGAGAAATGTTTGGTAATATTTCAAATGCTGAGTCCACTCCTCATCATCCAATGATACTATATCCTGGCAGTAACTGCTGTCTGTAGTAACCCCCGTTTAGTACAGGTTGTGGAGATTGCCATAGATAATACCATAGAGAGGTTATATTTAAACTGAAGCGTGGATACTTGACTCTGCAGTGCATGACGCAGTTGCAGATATTGAAAGAAGTATTTCTGGGAAAGTTCATAGCTGCATTAAAACACAGTAACAGCACATCGCTATCATATATTTGATAAAGCAACTGAATACCAGCCCTTTTCCAATGGTCAAAACCTTCCAATTCTGGTAGACAAGAGTTATCCCACAGTGGCATGTGTTTAGTACAACCGGTATGTTCAGTTATATCCTGTACCTTGGTCTATAATTTATTTATCAGATGAAACGTTAGGAAAATATGCTTCCTCTGAAAGTGGTGAACTACTACCAGCTGTATAAGTTGAGCTATTGGGAATTATGACAGAATAATGCCCTGTATGGGATCATGTAAATTTACTCCAAACCATTCAAACCATACCAATGTTGTAGCTGGGAGGCTATAAAATAAAGTCAACCATTAGGTATCGCCAACCCTCCCCCATCCTTCGGCCGCTGCAATGTAGAATGCTTAATTCTAGGATGCTGGTACTTCCAAATAAGTTGCCTAAAGAGAAAGTCTATGGTACGGAATAGGCGCTTTGGCAGCCACACTGGACAATTATGAAGGATGTACAATAACTGTGGCATCAATACCATTTTCACTAAGTTGGCTCTTCCTATGGCAGTAAGGGGTAATTTGCTCCATGTTTTAAATAATTTGTATCTGTGAACTGGAAACTTTCATATACTAATGATAACTATTCAGTTATATACTACTTGTTTAGTGATGTAGTGAGTTATAGGACTTCTATCATAAAGATGACAAAGTGTTACTAAACCTAGGACTCTGCATTCACTATATCTGATCTCTCACAATACACAGAACAAGGAAATGCATTTATTTTGTTAAATATAAACTTCTAAATGCTATTTCTCTTTAGCAGTATATAGCAGTCTTGTGACTGCTAGCAGTGTCCTGCTGATCACTGGTTAACGCTTGTAGGAGGAGTTTTAATTCTGCTCTGACTATCCTATGAGACTGCATAATCCCTGACCCTCTGTCTGGATTGTGCTGATTGGCCCTGTGCTGATCACATGCACCCCCCCCTCCAAAAAAAAAAAAAAAATCTCTAGCAATACACACCAAAACTGAGCATGTGCAGAGTAACTCGCAGAGCTCTGTACTATCAGCAGATGGATTGGGGACAGTAGAAGGGGAGGATCAGAGAAGACAGGATCAAACAGCTTTTTTACACAATGCAGAGGCTTGACCCCTTAGGTTTCACAGTGATTATAACAAGCATGCTTTACTTCATATATAGACTGGTTTTACTGATGTGGGTTTAGTAATCCTTTAAATGTGAAAAGTGCAGTAATCCTTACTAAGCAATTGAAAATCACTGAACTGATCTGACTATGGTAAAATCTGACTTGCTATTTCTGTATTATGGTGACACTGTGGTCTACTATACAGAAAAAGACCAGTTGCATTCAACACATTTAAGTTTAGATCCCGTGACTTACCTCCACCAAACCCAACAAGGTGGGTTCTTCCTCAGATTTAAGCAGGACTTCATTTTCTTTTCCTTTGAAGTTATCACGGTAATGACGTCTGTTATAAGGAACCCTTAGAATTTCTGGAACACCAATTTTATTTTCTAAAAGTCGAAACTGCAGGCTCTGAAAGCCCGAGGCAGCGGATAGATATTCCCTTTGGATTAAAAAAAATATAAATGTAAAATTTCCCTTACATGACTTAGGATCCGTCCAAGAACAAGCAACTGACCAGTGACAATGACTAATAACATAACGGGTCCTATCCTAATGCAGCCTCTAACATGACAATACATTTTTCAGTGCAGTTTGTGAATATTTTTTTTCTCCAAAAAGTCCAATAAAGAGATTTAGATTGTGAAAATATTCTCTCCTAAAAGCAAAGTCCTACCTGAAGTCGAAGAAGTCCATAGGGGTCATGGTCTCTATAACTGAGAATTGTTCTACCAGCAGTTTAAGAATCATAGAAATCCGGTGAATACGTGTTACAACTTTCAGCATATTTCTTTCATCTCTCACCTAGATGAGATTATAATATAAGTGTACAAAACAACAAGTGATATCATATGCTAAAAGTATACAAAAATAGTAAGCAAAACCCCAAAAAATTCAAAACGACAGCAGCACTCACTGATATTTAAACACAAAATATCCAAATGTATATGAAGCCAAAATGTGTTGCTCTGTCACTTCCATCAAATTAACAAACATGTGCGTACGGCAAAGTGCATTAAATCTTAAAGTGTATCATAAAGATAAAGTCCACCGTGACGTAAGTATTTTTAAAATCCCCCGGTGGATTTTATAATACTTATTTCATGGTGGACCTTATAATTATATCTTTACAGCTTGAGATGAGAGAGAAAAAAGAAAACTCTGCTCCAATCAAAAAATATCTGACATTTTGTATCAAGATAGAAAATGAATCGAAAACGAGGACACACACAATTATATGTGAATTCAGCTGTTGCAACTGATGATTCTAAGGTATCCCCTATGGGTCATATTTTGCTTCTGAACGCGTACATCTTGAGGTTGATTAACTAAGAAAATGTGAGAATCTTCGCTGAATCCGTGTGATTATTCACTTAATTTTCCAATCAAAAATCCTGTTTTTGTACATTTTTGTTTTATTATTAAGGCAATACAAAGCTTTAATATTAATTTCTTTCATATTTCCATCTTATATAACCTTTTACATTTGTCAAGGTGATGGAAAAAGAGAAAAAAAAACAGTAATTGATGACAAGTGTATGCAAGAAGGTGCAGTTCAGTATTAGCTATCAAGTAAAGATGAATTCTTGTGGACAACCAATTCAATGTAATGTTCATGGTGTAACAAAAAAAACAAAACAAAACTGTATCTAAACCCAAGAACAAACATTTCATATATTAACAAGTTATTTCAAATTGCTGCATTTTGTACATATTCTGCAAGTACAGGAAAATATCTGATGATCTTATCATATTACCCCGGTTGGTACAAATCATTAGTAATACCTCATCTGGAATATGCAGTTCAGTTTTGGGCACCAATTCACAAAAAGAACATTGGGGAACTTGAGAAAGTACAGAGAAGGGCAACCAAACTGATACGAGGCATGGAGGAGCTCAGCTATGAGGAAAGATTAGAGGAACTGAATTTATTCTCTCTTGAGAAGAGGAGATTAAGGGGGGATATGATCAACCTGTATACAGTAAATACATCAGTGGTTCATATAGTGAACTCGGTGTAGAGCTATTCACCCTGATGTCATCACGGAGGACAAGGGGGCACTCTTTACATCTGGAGGAAAAGAGATTTAATCTCCAAATATGGAAAGGTTTCTTTATAGTAAGAGCTGTGAAAATGTGGAATAGACTCCCTCAAGAGTTGGTTCTGGCAAGCTCAGTAGATTGCTTCAAAAAAGGCCTGGATTGTTTCTTAGATACACAGAATATAACTGGATAGTAATATTTATAGGTAAAGCTGATCCAGGGAATATCCGATTGCCTCTCAGGGGATCAGAAAGGAATTTTTTTCCAGCAGGAGCAAATTGGATCTTTTTTTGCCTTCCTCTGGATCAACTGTGGGTATAGGATTATAACTTTTATTTTTTATTTTTTTTTGGTTGAACTGGATGGACTTTTGTCTTTTTTCAGCCAGACTAACTATGTAATTATATATCAGAATTCTAGTGTCCTTGTAAATAAAATATAAACAATTGTATCATCCTTCACAGCTATCCTCTGTAAACTACAAAACACCCCACCATGTTATGGAGAGGAGAAAGTGTTTTGTAGTCCTAATGCTATCCCTCCAATGAGTGAGTGAGTGAGCATTGCCCCCTAGTACAGAAGGTATGTTGTGCACCTGGTGAAAAAAATAAAGCCTATAAAACAAAACTATGCAGCTACCACATCTAAGGACTGGTAAGCTGCAATGTACAAAATGGTTTTTTTTTTTTAGGTTTAGAGACATTTTACCAATAGACTCCATGAAAATAGCAGTAGCAATATGTGCCGATGTAAAAGATGTACCTATCATCTACTCTGTTGCTTTTTTTACTTACATGTCCATTCTGAAAGATTTCTCGAACAGAGTCTAATTCCCAAAGAATCTGCTTAAACCAAAGTTCATAGGCTGCAATAAAATTAAAAGAATTAATCAGATAGATGAGTATTAGTCTTCAATTTAAAAAAGAAAACGAAAATAATTATCTTTAAGATTCCTGTAAGTCATGTACTACATGAAGCACACTTGGAAATTAAGTTTATACCGCTTAGGTGACTTTCCTATATTGGAATTTCTAGTGTTATTAGTTTTTGATTTTTTTTTTACTATGAACAATTTTACTTGGGGGAGATCAGTGATACTTTTACATCTCTTATTAAACCGCTTTTGTCATATGCAAGGCTAAATCAAAATTTTGTAGAAAAGACTGAAACGATATAGAAATATAGGCTAACACTAGGGAAACTTCGGCAACTATGGGGTTGTTATTTTTACTTCTTTCTTTATTGTCTTGTATGCAGTGGTGCATTTAGGTTTTGTGCTGCCCTAGGCAACACAAAAATCGTCTGCCCCAGTGGACACTGACCAACACCACCCCCCCTTCCCCCTCCTGCGGACTGAGTCTGACATTGACCAACAACACCCCTGCACCCCACTTGGGAGAGCCTTCCACTACTCCCCCGGTGATAGAGAGAAAGACACTCATCTTCAAAGCTCCGGATATCCCTGGGAATGGGAGTCAGGCTCTACATACACCATCAAGCAGCCCACAGCCTCTCTTGGATCCCACCTGGTTCCCATGGCATGCGTGTCCCTTCTTTCATCCCTTCTTCTGAGGGGAGGTGCTGCCCCCCTGAAAAATGCCACCCTAGGCAAGTGCCTTCTTTGCCTTCTGGTCAATACGCCCCTGCTTGTATGTATAAATCAAGAGCTCTTAGCACTACACCTTCCCGAGAAAGTTAGGAGAAATCTCACCAGTGGGACCATTGACAGCAATAAACCTGACAAAGGTCAAAACCCTTCCCTACTTAACTAGATTTTTTTTTTAATATGGTCTGTGTTCTGCTTGGAGAAATTTCTGCTCAGCAGCTGTTCTGATGACACAATAGAAAGTAAAGGACAATCTCCCCATGACAGAAGTCCTAGCATTCCACACCAATATGGATACTGATACTTGGAATAATAAATAGCTGCATGTACATTAGGTCACAAAGATAAGGAAAGAATTGATGCCTAAATACGGCCAAGACACTAATTAATTAATCATTTAAAAAAAAGTTACATAAAAAGAAAAATTCTAAATTCTGTTTGCAGTTTTATTTGCTTACCTTGATGAGTGACAATGAAAAGGTGCTCATCGTGGATTTTGTTTCCCTTCAGCTCACTCTGTAGTACTTGTGCATCCAGCACTTTTATCAAGCTATAAAACATATAATTTATTTAATGTTTTGCTACCTTTTTATTAATAAAGTACTAAAATATATTTCCTTCACTGCTTTAAAATAGTTTATACTGTGGCAGGGAAACTAGTTCCCATGTCTGAATTTAGCAGCTTGGCCAGAGTTCAGCTTAAAAATCAAACTTTGTGAAGTAAGAAGTCAATAACACTCACAAATATCAATGGTTTCCATTCAGTGGCACTGCTAATACGTAATTTAGTACATTCATATCTTAACCAATAGCTTAACATTGGGAACAAGCTCTTATGTCAATATACACACAGAACAAAATTTTTTTTCACACAATAACAACTTTAAATAACATTTTCATCAGCTTTTGAATGTGAAAAATGTGCAATACATCTATCCATCAACATAGAAAGTGTAACATGATAAAAACTTTTACTGGTAGCTCCCATTGATTCTTTTCTCAGTCAAAATCCAAGTGAAAGTGGTTGCAACTGTCTAAAAAAATTGCATGACATTAAAGTTATCTACAGATAATAATAGCCTATTAAAAAATGAATTGTTGTTGACTGAATTTTGTGGTTCAGTTACAGCAACCAGACAGTACAGCCAGGTCTTTGACCTACACTACAGCAGATCAACGGCACAGCTCTGTTTAAAGTCTTGATGCAATTGCTACTAAGATCGTTTTTATTGATCCTCATACAAATTGCCCTGTAACCGCATGTATGTGGCACACCTTAGGAGTGATTTTTACATTGGTTTGTGTTAACTTAAAATATACCCATTTAACTTCAGCAGAAACTTTTATTTTCTTTTTTAAAATACCCTTATCTTATAATTAAAGTAAATGAAAAGCAGTGAAAATTAGCTTTCATGTTTGTGTTTTTTGTTTTGTATTCCTTCACCTAGAGATATTGTAGGATTTGAACAGCCAGAGTATGTACAGGCAATTCAGTGCAAAGAATAACACATTTACAAACGCTTCTATGTCTCTGAGTTTTAATATGCAGTGTTCCATCTCCTTGTGCAAGTGGCCCTGGGGTTGTGTGGTAGGTTTTGTGGATAAATTATGACTGTTTCTAACTTTTTGCACTTTTTGGTGGAGACATTTTTTGGTAACTGGCAATTGCGGAGTTTCACAATGTGTGCACACATTTTTTTCATACCTTTCACACATTTTATTGCCATTCAGTTACACTTATCATTCACATATTAACATTTTTACACTTATCAGTGACCAACCTTAACTTCATTTGACAATAGGTTGGGCGAGACATGCCCCATTCTGGGTGGACGTCATATGACGCCCTCTCTGAAACATGTCCCAAGGACTGTGCTGCGGCTCGATGTGTCACTTGCTGTGTCTATTGGACACAGCAGATGACCGATCAGTGTACCGGCCACTGCCGGTACCATGTGATTGCTTTGTCCAACCACAGCAGATCGCATGACAATTGTTCACATCGGATAGCGCTCATTTATGCCATCGATTGTATACTATTGTGTTGATCTCTGTGGTTGGTCACAGTGATCACATGGTACAGACAGGGCCAATCACAGCCCATCTATGCCATGTGATTAGCTGTGGCCAATCACAGCCAACAACAATAGCAAATACTGAATGAATTGAAATTCACTGATATAAGCAATCATAGTTTGTTAATTACAAAAAAAAAAGTACAGTGTTACTATGGTAACACTATTGCTTTGGTCACAGTATGTAAAAAAAATAAAAACATTTAAGAAAAAGGAAAAAAAAATTTACAAAAAAGAAAAAATATTTAAAAATTTGAAAAAAAATATGTCCCTGATCACGCCACACCAGTATCACTATATTACCAAAAGTATTGGGACACCCCTCCAAACCAATTAGGTGTTCCAATCACCTCCATGGCCACAGGTGTATAGAATCAAGCACCTAGGCATGCAGACTGCTTCTACATACATTTGTAGCTAAAAACCTCCAAACTTCATGTGGCCTTCAGATTAGCACAACAACAGTACATAGAGAGCTTCATGTAATGGGTTTCTATGGCTGAGCAGCTGCATCCAAGCCTTACGTCACCAAGTGCAATGCAAAGTGTGAGATGCAGTGGTGTAAAGCACGCTGCCACTGGACACTAGAGCAGTGGAGACATATTCTCTGGAGTGACGAATCATGCTTCTCTGCCAATGCGATGGACGTGTTGGGGTTTGGCGGTTGCCAGGAGAATGGTACTTACCTGACTGCATTGTGCCAAGTGTAAAATTTGGTGGATAGGGGATTATGGTGTGGTGCAGGGGTGGGACTTGGTGCATATAAAACATATTCTTTAAAAATATTTTTAAAATAAAATTTATTCATAAATGTATACCAAAATGTATTCTGCTACATGACTTTACTAAAAAAAATCCCAATACGTGTAAATTAATTGGTTTACGTTTAAGTTATAGCATCTACAAATGGTGGTATATATACTGGAATTTCTTTTTTATACTAGTAATGGCGGCGATCAGTGACTTATAGCATGATTGACACTGGGTGGGAACTGACTAACTGCCACTGACATCCCAATCACACTAATACAGTGATCAGTGCTAATAAAAAGCACTGACACTGTATTAATGACACTGGGCAGGAAGGGGTTAACATCTGAGGCGATCAAAGGGTTAACATTGTGCTATTTTACATGATGTGCTGTGTGTGTTTTACTAGGGAGACATGCTGCTGTGTATTTCTCTGCTGTGCTGTGCTGGATGTGCAGAGAAATACACAACAGCAGGTCCTTGCTGTCAGAAGAGAAACCTGTGTTGTTTACACACAGGTCTCTCCCCTGTCAGTTCCACATGGCGATGCCAGCAGGGAATCTCTGGGTGGGACCCAGTGATTGACATCCATAGCCGTCAATGGCAAGACTTGAGAACGCCCTGTGGGTGGGGCGAAACGCGTTGACGCACTTCCGGTCCGCCGTCATCTTGGCCAACCTCACTTCCGGTATTTGGAAGGCACGCCGACTTTTGCGGTTCAAGCGGCCATCTCAGAGGTGGAAAGCTGGTCATCCTCTACAGTGATTTTTAAAGCGTGAGATCCCTATATTTACAATTTGGAAACTGGTTTTCTTGAAGCCTTTGAGGCTATTAAACAAGGCCTGTTATTTTATTGAAACATGTGAGTGTCCTTATTCTATGGATTTATATGGTATTGAGTGGCAGTATTACACTATGTAGCCTTTCTTTCCTTGCACATTATTGAGGATTCCATGGAGAAGTAGAGTGGAGTCGATTGCTATATCTAAGTAGGGTGAAGAAGGAGATTTGAGTTCTTTTGGAGGGGCTATAGGATCCCTTATATCCTATGAGGCTTATTACTCACCTCCATCTGGTGAGTGCAGTCAATATTATTTGTCACGTGGTGATTAGGTGGAAGCACATTTTGGAACATTTTCTTGAAAATCCTTTTGGGAATTGGGAATAAGGACTTATGTTTGAAATATTATATATATATATATTTTTTTTTTTTTTGCACGGATATTTATTTATTTGTGATTATTTTTAATTTAATTTTTGCGCTGTTTTTTGTGTTATTCTCTTGAAAATATGTTTTACAGATTGGTGCATACACATGCATGGTTAAATTCCTGAATGTGCCTGTTTATGTCTGTAAACAAAGGAAGGGAATTGCAGCCACTACTTCAGGCATTGGCTTATCCAGCATGGCAACACTTCTGAAAATCAGGATGCCAGGAGTGTTCGGTTGTGAATGTTATCTGTTTGTGCTTAGAGTAAATGCCTGATCTGATAAAAATAATTGCCAGAGCAGGAAACTATCATCTTATGGTTACCATATGGTGTTAATTGACTTGTTGCAGATTAGGTAGTTATGTAGTGTCTCTAGTCATATTAAGATGCGAGCAGACACAAGTGGCCATTTTGTTATAGAAAAGTTGGTTGGCTTAATTAGAGTTCCTGACAATCATTAGCGTTCTTCAAAGATGAGGATAGCACTGGGCATGACTGCATTCTTCATAGACATTTATGTCTGTGGGATGCAAGCGTGAATAACATACACACATTATTTTGGAAGAGAATATATAACCTTCTTATACCTAAGCTTTAATTTAGGAATCAGTTAATGATTCATTTAAATGCAGCTGTAAAAATATGGGAATTAAACATTTGTTGGTAATAGTTAAGCTGTGTTTTATGTCTAAAAATGCAAACCACATTTATTAGCAATTCCAAAACTCCAAAACATTAGCAATTTGCTAGAATTTGCTCACAGTTATCAGGTGCTGCTAGTGGCCAGGAATGGTAGATAAGGCTTTCATTATCACACAGGAAAGATTTAAAAAGTACTCTTTTGACTTAAAAAATGTATACAAACTTAATAGTGCCTTTTAATGCTTTGTATTTTTACTTTTTCTAAAGTGTGTGTGTGTGTGTGTGTGTGTGTGAATACAACAAAAGAATGTGACAATCAATATAACAAGGCTTACCTGTAAATAGTCACCATATAAGAGCCCTCCCTTGCTAGCTTTATTAATTCCATCTTGTTCACTGTCCCCATTTTTGTCGTCCTGAGATAGTTCATTAAATGTATATCTTGAAAAGAATACATATATACAATTACATAATGGTGAAGGGTCTGAAGGATAAAATATAAGGAAAGACTTCAGGAACTTAACGTGTACAGTCTAGAGCAGACTTTCTCAACCTTTTCATTACAGAGGAACCCCTGAAATATCGTTTTGGTCTCAGGGAACTCCTGCTAAAAATGATTATATCTACAACTCATAATACATTCATGTGATGGGCAGTGGATAGAAAGCCCCTTACACTTGTGGTCAGTGGGAATCACCCCCCCCCTCCTATAGATAACTAAAAAGATCAATGTTGTCTGTGGGAACTTATCTGACGAGCAGAGATTTCTCATTGCTCAAGGAACCCCTAGCAACCCTTGAAGGAACCGTAAGGTTCCATGGAACCCTGGTTGAGAAACCCTGGTCTAGAGGAAATAAAGGAAAGGGAAGACATGATTGAAAACTTTAAATACATCAAGGGGGTAAATAAAGTTCAAGAAGGCAGTATTTTCAATATAAACCAAGAACAAGAACACGGAGACATGACCACAATCTAACTGGAGGAATGTTCAAAACCAGTCTTAGAAAGCATTATTTTACTGAGTATAGAATAGACTTGGACGAGACTTCCAGCAGAGGTAGTGAGTCAGTCAACAGTAAGTAGCTTCAAACATGCATAAGACAAACATAGATCTATAATCAAACAAAAATGTTAAAAAAAATGCAAAGAGACATATAAAATAGCAAAAAACAGGCAAAGTCGATGGACCATTGTTTTCTATTGTCAGTCTTGTATGTTTCTATAAACTGTGGCCATAAAAACATTGACTTATTCTAATGACTGTTATAGCCAAAATCTTATACTTACTGAAATCTCCTTCCCATAAATGGACATCCACTCATTCTGTTTTGTAGTAAATAACCAAACAAACTTGAAGCACCTTAGCTGTACTGTCATTTATACCAAGTGCTTGTGCTCTGATAGCCAATCACCTCCCTACACTTTCATTCTGCCCATAAAATGTTAAACGTGATCAAACAGCTACCAAGATCACTATCTCTGTGTCTGTTTGCTGTCACTGTTCAAACCAAAATAGTTGTAATATTTACTTGCCGTAAAAGAATGTATGTCATTAGCCCTAGGCCATCATAAACTGATGCTGTTAGCTGTTGCAACAGTACCAAATGTCTGAAATAATATTGTCAGATGAAATTAGACCTTTCCTGGAATTTGGTGATTCTCATTATAACAGAAAACAGACAATTCTTTCACATGCTTTGAAGACCAGTACAAAATGAAAGATGAAAGGATTTATAATCAGTGCAGATAATCACACCTCAACAAATCTGTGTTCCTGTTAGGATCATCATCAATATGGTCCATTGTTACAAGCATGCACTAACATGATTGTTCTTTAGCATATACAGTACAGTAACTGTATATGCTACAAATTACCAGCCCAAGGCTGATGTCTGTGTCAGGTCAACCAGCGCCAAACCTCATCTTCGTCGAAAAAGTATTACAATTCAAAATACTTTATTAATCCCAGCAGAGAAATTAAAAATGATTAAATAATTAATATTCAATAACCCTTGGTTATTCAATAGCCATTAAATGAATGTGATTTTTCGTGAAAGTATTTTTATCCGTTAAACTCTAGACAATTAAAATAAGACAATTTAGACTGAATATTACGGCCCAAATATTGCTGACACTGACCTATATATTGGACTACTACACATGCTTACCTAGATTGCCGTACGGGACCTCTGACTGTTACTCGGATTATCTTGAACTGTTTGACCCGGAACAGTTGCAGCTGTTCCCCCTTTTCTCCCTACCCTCCCCCTTTTTTTCTCTCTCTCTCCTTCTTCTTGTCTCTCTCTTTCTCTCCCCCTCTTTCTCCTCCTTCGCTGTATTCTATGAACTTAGAATACCAGCAGATCCATAGGTACAACTACAGCTCCTCAGCCTTCGCCCCAGGGGTGAACACCCAAATATCCACTGTTTCACCCTAAACCACATATTGTTACTGCTTCCCAAATATGGGGAGACCACATTTGTGAGACTTTTTTGAAGCCTAGCCGCATAGAAGAGTCCAAAATCCAAGGAACACCTTTAAGCTTTCAAGGGGCATAAATTGTACATTAATTTCCTGACTTCCTATCATGTTTGGAGACCCTGGCGAGCCAGTACAGTAGAAACACTCATAACATTTTTAGGAGTAAACACCCCTAAGGTCTTTTTTAAGAGGCATTGTGAGTCTTTTGAAGAGTTTTTTTTCCTTAGGCTTTTGGAAAATGTGGAAAACACTCTTCTGGCCTTTTGCAGTACATCCTGGAAGCCAGGGTACCTAAACAGGAACCATTGCAAGACCAGATCCAGGACATGTGTCAAAGAATGTACACATGTATGTGAATTTTCCCTGCTGAGGCAGGTTGGTGTCATTGGCACAAATGACCTGGTCTGAAACAAGCTGGTATGGGCTCAGCCACCTCTGGCCCTGCCCCTGGCACAGTGTGATTCCTGTCTCTGAAGTATAACAGATGCAAAACAGCATAGCCTGGGCCATTGCCATTGGCTTTAGGGTGATTAGGGGAGAATAGTGGTTCTAGGACGATGGAGAGAAGCTGTAAAGTCAGCAGTTTGCAAAGCTGGGCATATGGGTAATTAGGGGACACTTTTTTCTGCTCTAGCAGCTTCGGAAGGGACAGCTACCTGGTCAAGGATGCTTCTGAAGACATTGGGGTGGGATTAGGAGACTTACAGTGAGGTTCAAGCATATGTTTGACCATACTCAGCATGGTCCCATAATAACTCTCTTCCCCTATTGATGTGCTGTAAATAAGTAACATCTTGTAAAACTTCACCCTCCCTATTGCTTGAGGCTGCAGATGTTGTAGCGCATGCAAATGGAGAATCTTGTGGAGGGGGGAAAGATGGAAAGTGAATAAAGAGGGGGAGGAGTGCAGGCCTGCTCCCATAGAGCACTTTTAGTACATAGTCATGTGTTTCCTCATGCATATGGTACCCAAATGGCTGATATGTTTACTATGGTGTATGCCCTACAAGCAGAGGCGGCAGACACATAGGACTACTGTATATTTTGAATATTAGGGACATGGTTTGAGATGCAGGTATGGGGGAGGGAGGGTCAGGGAATGTGGTGTTGTAGTTTTGAACTGTTTTTGTGCACTCTGATCTGATATTTTTTTTAAATCTTAAGACAATGCAGTGTGGCACTTTGACTAAGAAGCTCACAAACGATATTATCAAATGTTTTTTGCTACTGGCTAAATTGTATAAAATTGAGGGCTCTAGTAAACTTTCCTATAGCGTTTGCATCTTTTGTGGCTGCTGCACCCAACGGTCAATTCATGCCTGTTACAGCTGGATAATTAATCAGGTGTCACATTCAAAACTATCTAAAAAAAAAAGTTAAAATGAATCAGATTGGGATGCTACTAAAATGCTGTGCTTAAGTCAAGGAGTAATGTAAAAGTAAAAAAAATCCATTACACATGGTAAATATGTGATGTCGGAATACAGTGTCACTGATGCTGTATGTGAGAATTGTACTGTTTCTTAACACCACATACAGCCTAAAGGCATCTCCCAACCATGTAATGGAGACAATTTGTGTTCTTCTTTCTCACTGTCAAAGTCACATAAAAAGAGGGATCTTTTTCCCTTTGCAGAGTATTTTAATAAATGTTTTGGGATTTGGTAGATGTCCCCCATGGCAGTGCCCAGCTCCCCGTGTCCTTTGTTTGACAATCCCTTGCATTTTAACTTTTAAAATGTCATTATCTATTTTTAGGATTCGCCTTCCATAGACTTCAATAGGGTTTGGATTTAGGGTCATAATTTTTGGACTTTACAATGGGTTCAACGAATGGCCCACAAACCGAACCCAAGCATTCATTCATCCTTAAACAGCAGTTGCCGTTAGCTGTTGAGAAATGGACTACAATTGGACTTCAGAGTTCCTGGTATTGTAATTGAATACATATTTCTTCACAGAACATGCATCTACAGTGGTTCAGTTAAGGCTTATTTATAATACATGAGTTTGAATACGTATTTGAACACATTTGAATACATATTTCTTCACAGAACATGCATCTACAGTGGTTCAGTGAAGGCAATAGGGTCATTTTAAAGGAAGGTTAGACAAAGGGATGACCCCGTCAAATATGCTACTGCTTCTTCATTGTTTCAATAATAAGATGGATGAGGAGAGGTGAATGGACTGTTTTTTACCTCACTAGATGTACTGTATGTGTACCCTTACATCATTTCAGGCGAAAAAGTTGAACTGCAGACCAGGGGCGGACTGACAATTCATGGGGCCCCCGGGCAATAAGGGATCATGGGGCCCCTGTGTCTTTGCCCAAACTCAAAAAAGCCTATGAAAAAGGTACCAGGGGCATCTCATGGGGCCCCCCTACTGACCCCGGGCCCTCGGGCAGTGCCCGAGTTTCCAAATGGTCAGTACGCCCCTGCTGCAGACATGGCTAAAGCTTGTAGCTTTGAATACGATAGGACATAATAGTGGGATATTAAGAAAGCTTGCAGCTATCGTAGGACATGTCTGAGACATTAATTTAACATCCTGAGATTAGAATTTTGGTCCTGATTTTTAAGACTACAAACTATGTGAACAGTGCAAATTGACAGCAACCAAAATCATAAATTATCATTCACCATTAGACTAAAAAGGTTGTTTGGTATGAGGTACATTGCACAGAACGATATGGTTGTACTTCGCACCATCTTTTTCAATAATACCCTAGGGGTCTTTATGTTAAAAAAAATGATGAAGTAGATACCGAGGGTGACAACAAAAATAGGCAGAAATAATTTTTAGAGATTTATAGAAAGTGGAACAAACACTGCTATCGTAGTGCTATATACAGTGGGGCAAAAAAGTATTTAGTCAGCCACCAATTGTGCAAGTTCTCCCACTTAAAAAGATGAGAGAGGCCTGTAATTGGCATCATAGGTAGA